AAAATAGATTTTTAGATAATTGAAGAATAATATAGCCTTCTTAGTGGGTTTATATGAACATTTAGATTGTTTTTAGCATGTTTTATAGGCAATTTTTCTGTTTGACAGTCCGTATTTTCCTATCCGTACCGCCCATAGGTTCATAAATTATTGTAGTATTTATCAACAAAGATTTTGCGCTCGATCTTTTCAATTCAATTTTATGGAAAAACGAGCAGAAATGCATATGAAATTTTTTTTGGACCTCTTGATAGATATATGTCTATGGATTCAGGAAAGGTATCACTGTAATTGATTGAAATTTTCCTTTGGACCAAATTTTGGAGACTTTTGTGACATGTTCACCCCCCTTTTATGCAATATTTTGTATCAAAGAAATGCAGATTGTTGCCATGGTTACACCCAAAAGAGATTATATTTTACCATTATAACCATTAGAAATCAAATCTATGGAAGATTCTCTTTCTATAAATATACACATGCATAACACAAATATTAAGCCTTATTTGTTAGAAAGGAAGGGAAAGAGGATGTTTAAAAATTATGAGTGTCAATTTTAAGTTTTTTTCCTAACTGTGTATTGCTACCTAAAGCTTTATATTTTAGTAGGTAGAAGACCTGGATGCTTCATACCTTGTATGCAGATACCTTATGATACGAAGTTTCCGCCTGTCATATGTCCATTGTCCTTGATCTCATTTTCATGGTTCAGCGACTGCTTGAAAAAAAAACCAGTGTTTTTGTCATGTGATTTTCTCACTTAGTATGAGTAATATGATAACTATATTTGGTATATGGGTTCCTTACAACGTCCGTCAAATAGGGTAAACCTGACCTCGACCTCAATTCATGAATCAGTGATCAAGGTTGAAGTTACATGATTATGTCCGTTTCTCAGATACTACATGCAGCAGGTCAGCTATATGTGGTGTATGGAATGATTGTAAGGGTATATGTCAGACTGGCAAGTTTTATCTGACCTTGATCTCATTTTCATGGTTCATTGGTCATTGATAATTTATTGTGTTTTGGTCTCTTTTTCAATTACTATAAGCAATAGGTCAACTATATTTTGTGTATGGAATGATGGTAAGTTGTACATGTCTGTCTAGCTGCTGTCATCTGACCTTGACCTCATTTTCATGGTTCATTTGACAATGTTAAGTTTTTGTGTTTTGGTCTATTTGTCACGTACTATAAGGAATAGGTCAACTATATTTGGTTTATGGAATGACTGTAAGGTGTACATGTCTGTCTAGCCGGTGTCATCTGACCTTGACCTCATTTTCATGGTTCATTAGTCAATGTTGAGGTTTTTGTGTTTTGGTTTATTTTTCAGGTATCATAAGCAATAGGTCAACTATATATGGTGTATGGAATGATTGTAAGTTGTATATATCTATCTAGCTGGTGTCATCTAAAACCTTGACCTCATTTTTATGGTTCATTGGTCAACGTTAAGTTTTTGTGTTTTTGACTGTTTTTTCAATACCCATAAGCAAAGGGTCTACTATATTTGGTTATATGGAATAATTGTAAGGTGTACATGTTTATGTGGCAGTTTTTATCTGACCTTGATGTCATCGTCATGGATCTTTAAAAATGTAAAGTTTATGTGATACTTGTTGTAAAACCTTTATCTCAGAATTTCAACCTAAAATCAATGGTCAGTAAAACAGTCGAGACATTTCAGCGTGTGCACTCTTGTTTTTACGAAATATATGTAAATAATCAACACAGTCAACAGTTATATGGGTTTACACTGTTTAACGAAGATCTAGACCTCTGCAATGCATTTCTCAGATACATAAGAGAACTCAACCTCTCCAGGAATGGCAAATTTCTCCGATTTCAATTATCATACTTCACATTTCGGCTCCAACTGCACCTGATACCTGAGCAACTGGGATCGTTATTGTCAACCTAAGAATTTGCTTAAATACGTCGCTCAAGTTTAAACTAAGCATTCAAGGACTATAAAAACAACACACTAGATTTTTGTCACCATTATATAATTTTAAGTTTTAGAAATCCTGTAAATAAAGGCAACAGTAGTATACCGCAGTTCGAAACTCATAAATCGATAGAGATAAAAACAAATCCGGGTTACAAACTAAAACTGAGGGAAACGCATCAAATATAAGAGGAGAACAACGACACAACAAAAACACAACATTAAAATGTAACACACACAGAAACGAACTATAATATAACAATGGTCATTTTCCTGACTTGGTACAGCACATTTTAAGAAAAAAATGGTGGGTTGAACCTGGTTTTGTGGCATGCCAAACCTCCCGCTTTTATGGCAACGTCAAACACAACACCAAAACGACAACATCACATGACAGGACCACAATACAAATAAATGGGAGAACATATAGGACAAAGAAACACACGAATAATAGCTAACAAAAGGTAATTTTGTTAATTTTAATCAACACGTGATTCTCAAGATTCCCGGTTAAAATTTGCATTATCATAAAATCACGTATATACACGTATCCCATACACAGCATGGCGATTGATTCGAGTTATATTTCATGGTCTTGACTATAACAATTTGTTTTCAATATACTATGCAGATGAACGTTCCATGATAATGAAAATAATAAAAGGATTCTTATAGAAGAAAGAATGTGTTCAGCTAAACCATAACAGAAAATCCATTTTTTTAAATGATTATAGTTCGCCTTTAAACTAGCCGATTTTCTCATTTTAAAAGCAAATGAGACTAAATAATTATTAATATTTAAAAAAAAAAAAAACACGTTCTTAAATCAAAAGACAAAGCCAGAGATTTGTAAGAACAAAAGAAAAGGCATCCATAGGTATTTATACGACCTTGAAGGATGACCCGAATGAACACGCTGTATAGTAAATTCTAAATTAAATAGGTTATTAGTAAATGCAAAACTCATATATGTCACAAAATTCCTTATTGAAAATCGGGACCCTTAAACACTTCATAAGACATCCATATCATCCGAGTAAAACTAGTATGTGAGTACGCAACAAGATTGCGAGAACGAATACACGTTTCTTTAAAATGTATTTGCATTTATGATAAAATTTATAGATAAACACATTTCCTAAATAGATCATTGTATTTTAGAAGGTGTGCTCGATTAAGAATTGTACTTTGTCATTTCGTTTAACGGGGGTGAGTATAAAAAAGCATAGAAAAAAAATAAGATAATAAGATTTCTTTGCGCAAAACAGTCAACACGGCACGTTTTTTTGTTATTTATTTTTACTGTTTAGATGTCTCCCCCCCCCCCCCCCCCCCTTCCCAATGCAGTGCACAAGATCACGACCTTGTTCAACGCCATTATATAGGTATCGACAAGATGTAGAACACCAATTCATATTTAGTTTGAAAATATAGTATACATAATTTGCAAGCAAACTTTACTTGATAATTTGTTAGTGGGTAGACTATGAATACTGATGATACATGGATGGATGGCTATACAACGTCCAGTGGCAAGTTAAATGCGAATCCAGAACGAGAACATGTTACTATGATATGAATAAGAACCCTGCTTTGTACTACACCGACATGCTGAGATGGATCTTTAACGTGCTAGGTCACACTTGTCACAAGGTAACTCCACCCAGGAAGCCGATCGACATTTCAACCTTCCCGGACACGTTATTCTTACTCCGGACCGAACGTCTTTGCTTTTACTCCTTAATGCCGCGTACAGTAAATCTTTGTACTTACAACCACGACCTTCCGCACTCGAGGCGAGCACCCTACCACTGAGGCGTTTATGAAAATTTAAGACACACATACATATATATTCAAGCCATATGAAACAAGAATAATTGTCGATAAGACATCATGCCCCCCCCCCCCCCCCCCCCCTTTTTTCATAGTGTCACATTTCTATGTCCATTGAACCACTAAATCCAGGTCAAACCCTAATTTGTTTTATAATTTTAAATATAAGTTTAATTTGGAACGGGACGGACGAACAGAACAGAAAATATAATATCCACCTGCAAGCATGAGTTGGGCATAAATCTTAAAGAACCTACTTAACAAAACTGCTTTGCAATATTCCATACATGTACGTTTTTCAGAAATATTTGTTTCAACGTCACAATCTGTGAGCAATGACTTTAATGGCACATACAGACTCTTCATAGTACCCATGCATCATATAATGTATTTTATATAATTCAAGAATAGAAGTAAAATAACAACTAATTTAATAAAGTGTAATGATTTTTTTTTAATATGCATTCTCATTCCTTTTATAAATTTTACGGAAAGGAGACAAAGTAATTTCTGATAAATGCATCAATGATCTAAATTTCTGCTTCTAACAAAAGTATCTTGAAATTAGAAATATGCTTAAATAAGAAGCAAGTCGAATACACCTTTTACTTTTGGATGTGTTTGAAACTCCTGGTTTAACTTTACACCGTAAAAATCAATAATGAGATTGTCATCTCGCGTAAGAATTCAATATTTTTATTTTTTCAGACTTAATTTCGACTTAGTAGTTTTCAGAATTTATCCTTTGAGAAGAACTAAATATATGGGTCAAGTGAAATGACCAAGTAATGATGGTGCATTTGATTACACGTAACTGGAATAATTATTCCCTTATAAAAGGATTGTTGCCAATAAAATCCTCTTGCATGTGATAACAAAACATATAAAGATTTAAAAAAAACAGATTGGGTTAACATTTAAACTTTATTCGATTCCAACACAATAAGTGTATTCAACTAACACAAATCAGTCCATGCTTCCCTCTATCATGCTTCAATGCAATAGACCGAGATACGTTTAGATAAGTTGGTTAAGTCGAGTACTGTCATTAAATTAGAAATCTCTAATATTACGCACAACATGATAAGGTATAACAGTGACGTCGTCCTGTAGTAGAACAACATCATTAGGATGTAAAAAGTTAATTTGATGCACCCTTATCAACTGACCATGTGTGAAAATTTGTTCTAATGTGTCCCGTTTTATATTTCAGTAAAGAAAGTTAAGACAGTTAAGCCAAAAGGTAAATATATTTGCATGTGTGTTATCTATCTGAAGTCATGCTGTTATCGTACTACATATATGGCCTCTTATTGTTAAATAGCGATAGTGTTATTGTATGATCGATTGCCCTTTCTTAGCATAGTTGAATTTGAAATAGAAATGTACAATTTGGCTCAACATATAAAAAACGCACTATAGTGCATGGACATACGTAGTGGTTACATTCAATCTGTTCCAATTGATTTCCTATAAAATCACATTTTTTGAACAACAGCAAAATTGAAGCTGTTTGTCTTTTGATTTTAGAAAAAAAAAAGAGGTTGAAGATACCATAAGGATTTCAACACTCACAAGTCAAAAGATATTGACACGCCTTAGCAACAACCAAAAGACCACTTAGAGACAAAAAAAGTTGCCAAAACACTACTAAGAATACTTATAGAATGAGCAACACGAACCCCAACAAAATATGGTTGTTTAAAAGATGCATATATAGAAATAAGAAGATGTGGTATAATTGCCAATGAGACAACTCTCCACCAAAAACCAAATGACATAGAAATTAACATCTATATGTCATCGTACGTTTTTCAACAGTGAGCAAAACCCGACCCGTATAGCTAGCTATAAAATGCCCGGAAACGACAAATGTGAAATTCAAGCGAGAAAACTAAGGCCTGATCTATGTACAAAATAATGAACAAAAAAACCCCATATTTGATATACAGTAACAAACGACAACCACTGAATAACAGGCTCCTGACTCTGGACAGGCGTTTACAAAATGTTGCGGGGTTAAACTAGTTTGAAGGCACCAACCCTCCCCTAACCTGGGACAGTCCGTCAGTGGTGTAACATTACAACATAAGAACAAAATATAAATCGATACAAAGCAGAAAATTTCTGAATGATATTTGGATTTTTTGTGATTGTTTTGACGTCAGATGTTTTTGTTTTCTTGTAATGGTTGAATTGGAAATACAGGTGTACAATTTGGCTCGACATATCAAAAACGAATTATAGTGCATGGACATAATTATTGGTTACCTTCAATCTGTTCTAATTTATTTCCTATTAAAACACATTCTTTAAACAAAAACAAAATTGAAGCTGTTTGTCTTTGGATTTAAGCAAACCGTGTTAAAAAATAGAAGCGGAAGATACAATTCTCGACACAATGGTTTGATTAGATCAACTTACACAAACTGAATATTAATAGATTTTCACAGACATTGACCCTACCCCTTCCAACAGAAATTAGTCTTGAAGTAGCAATACAATTCTCGACACTATGCCTTGATTAGATCAACTTAAATCAACTGATTATTAATGGATTTAGACTTTAATGAATCACGTTTTATATTTTAGTAACGAAAACTACGAAAATTATGCCTAAAGGTAAATACAAGTGCTGATATTTATTTACTGGATACTGCAACTAGTAATTGATTTCATAAAACCTTCCACAAAAAGCAGTGTTTTTATTTGTTTTGTTTTAATTTAAACTTGTTCCTTCTTTTTTTTTTTAAAGGGGTTCGAAATAAATAGATAAAATGGTGCAAAATAAAGAAATAAAAAAATTCAAATAAAGGCACAAAACTTCAAAATTGATAGCACATGAAGTTTGATTCAAGATTGTATTTAAAATAGTGTAATAAAAATAAAATTACCAATGAAGAAGAAAGAATGTTATCGTCTAGATTCAATCTGTATACTTACCAAAAAATAGTTTTCGCCTACGAATGAATGATAACAAGAACAGCATCAGTACACTGATAACATTTTTAGCTATGAAATCAAATGATGAAAGACTCGTTTCTAGTAGGGGGTTTATTAGATTTTTGTTCCGATTTTGTCTGTTGTTTTTTTTTACTTCATCTTATCCTGTGAGTGAAAGTAGTCTTTCCCGAAGCAATGTAAATATTCAACACAGTCAAAAGTTATAGTTCCATTGGGTTGACACTGTTTCTTGAAGTTCTAGACCTCTGCAGTGCGTTTATCGGACATACAATCCAACCTCTCCAGGAATGCCAGATTTCTCTGCAATTTCAATTTTCATATTTCTGGTTTCGGTTCATACTGCACCTTATACCAGAGCAACTTGACAATATAAATAGCATTAGTTTGAGGAAAAATGTATGAATTTCTGAATAATTTGCATACAGATGAAATCTAAAAGTTAAGATAGTCATTATAGCAAAAACTCGTATTGTGGTGTAGGCTGTAATATTACGCACCATATGCTAAGGAATAACAGTGACATCGTCCTGTAGTAGTACAATAGAATCGCGATGTAGCAAGTTGATTTGATGCACTCTTATAGACTGACCATGTGTGAAAATTTGTTCTAATGTGTCCCATTTAATATTTCAGTAAAGAAAGTTAAGATAGTTAAGCCAAAAGGTAAATATATTTGCGCGTGTTATCTATAAAAGTCATGCTGTTATCGTTTCTACATGAATGCCCTTTTATTGTTAAATAGCGAAAGTGTTATCATATGTAATACAGATGTACAATTTGGGTCAACATATCAAAAATGAACTATAGTGCATGGACATAAAGGTTACCTTCAATCTATTTCAATTGATTTCCTATAGAAACACATTCTTTAAACAACAACAAAATTGAAGCTGTCTTTGGATTTTAGCAAATCGTTTTGAAAAAAGAGGCGGAAGTTAGATACCATAAGGATTTCAACACTCATAAGTCGAGAGAAATTGACACTGCCATAGCAACAACCGAAAGACCACAAGGAGATAAATAAGTTGCCAAAACACTACTAAGAATACTTATAAAATGAGCAACACGAACCATAACAAAATATGGTTGTTTAAAAGATGCATCGATAGAAATAAGAAGATTTGGTATAATTGCCAGTGAGACAATTCGTCACCAGAGACCAAAGGACATAGAAGTTAACTTCTATATGTCACCATAAGGTCTTCAACAATGAGCAAAACCCGTTCCGCATAACCATCTATAAAAGGCTCCGAAAATACAAATGTCAATCAATTCATACGAAAAATCTAACGGTCTGATTTACATACATGATGTATATTGTAATGGATGAAAAAGAAATATGATATACAGCAACAAAGGACAACCACTGAATTACAGGCTCCTGACTTGGGACAGGCACATACAGAAAGTTGCGAGGTTAGACTAGTTTGAATGCACCAACCCTTCCCCTAATCCCGGACAGTGGTGTAACAGTACAACATAAGAACAAACTATAAAAATCAGTTGAAAAAGGCTTAACTCATCAGATCGATACACAGCAGAATATTTCTGAATGATATTTTTAAATTTTTTTTTATTATTTTGTTCTCAAATGTTTTTGGTTTCTTCTGATGTAAACATGCTTCTAATTATTTGTGATTTTTGTTTTGTTGAAATATATAACAAAACATTTTTACTGTAGATAAAATTTATGTTTAAATCTGTATAAAAAGGTCTTATTAATCAATTTAAGACGAAAAATGAGTAAAAATGTGACAATATTTTTTAAGGTACAAAATTGATTAAAATCCAACTAGAAATAACCATAACAAAAATATAGAAAATTGGTAGTGACGAATACTTATGGTCATGCACTGTGCTTGCCAAGCTAATGATGGCCGCGGAGACATTGACTTAAAACCTTCCAATAAACATTGGTCTTGGAGTATGAATACAGTTTTCCACATTATGCCTCGATTAGATTAACTAACGCGAACTGAATTATAATGGATTTGGACTAATGAATTACGTTTTATATTTCAGTGGAGAAAACTACGAAAATTATGTCTAAAGGTAAATACAATGCTGACGTTTATTTACTGGATACTGTTTAATAGATTTGTTACTGGATACAGTATAATTGATTTTTTACTGGATACTGTATAATTGATTTTTTACTGGATACTGTATCATTGATTTCATAAAACCTTCTATAAAAAGCAGTGTTTTTATTTGTTTTTGTTTTTAAATTTAAACCTGTTCCTTTGGTTTTATTCAAAAAGGGTTCGAAATAAATAGATAAAATGGTGCAAAATAAAGAAATAAAATTATCGAAATAAAGGCACAAAACTTCAAAATTGTTAGGACATGACGTTTGATTAAAGATTATACTCAAAATAGTGTAATTCAAATAAGATAACCAATGTAGAAGAAAGAATGTTATCGTCTAGCTTCAATCCTTATACTTACAAATGAATATTTTTCTCCTATGAATGAACAATAAAAAGAACATCATCTGATCCTGTGACCGAAAGTAGTCGTTCCCCAAGTTATGTAAATATTCAAAACAATCAACAGTTATATTTCCTTGGGTTTACACTATTTCTGGAAGTTCTAGATCTCCTCAGTGCGTTTATCAGACACATAAGAGAACCCAACCTCTCCAGGAATGGCAGATGTCTCCGATTTCAATGATCATATTTCGCATTTCGGCTCAAATTACACCTTATACCTGAGCACTTTCAAAATATAGATAGCATTAGTTTGAGGGAAAATGTTTGAGTTTCTGAATAATATTCATACAGCTGACATCTAAAAGTGAATAGAGCCATTAGAGCAATAAAGCGTATTTTTGTAAAGGCTGTAATATTACGCACCATATGCTAAGGAATAAGAGTGACATCGTCCTGTAATATAACACCATAATTGCGATGTAACAAGTTAATTTGATACACCCTTATCAACTGACCATGTGTCCCGTTTATATTTCAGTAAAGAAAGTTAAGACAGTTAAGCCAAAAGGTAAATTAATTTGCATGTGTGTTATCGATCTGAAGTCATACTTTTATCGGTACTAAATGTATGGACTCTTATTGTTAAATAGCGATAGTGTTATCATATGACCGATTTCCCTTTCTTGTCATAGTTGAAATAGAAATAGAAATATACAATTTGGCTCAACATATAAAAAACGCACTATAGTGCATGGACATAAGTATTGGTTACATCCAATCTGTTTCAATTCATTTCCTATAAAAACACATTCTTTAAACAACAGCAAATTTGAAGCTGTTTGTCTTTTGATTTAAGCAAATCGTTTTTAAAAAATAGGTGGAAGATACCATAAGGATTTCAACACTCATAAGTCGAGAGAAATTGACACGCCATAGCAAAAACCGAAAGACCACTTAGAGACAAAAAAAGTTGCCATAAACACTACTAAGAATACTTATAGAATGAGCAACACGTACCCCAACAAAATATGGTTTAAAAGATGCATCTATAGAAATAAGAAGATGTGGTATAATTGCCAATGAGACAACTCTCCACCAAAAACCAAATGACATAGAAGTTAACATCTTTCAACAGTGAGCAAAACCCGAACCGCATAGCTAGCTATAAAAGGCCCGGAAATGACAAATGTGAAATTCATGCGAGAAAACAAACGGCCTGATATAATTACAAAATAATGAACAAAACAAAAACCAAATATGATATACAGTAACAAACGACAACCACTGAATAATGGGCTCCTGACTTTGGACAGGCGTATACAAAATGTTGCGGGGTTAAACCAGTGTGAAGACACGAACCCTCCCCTAACCTGGGACAGTGGTGTAACAGTACAACATAAGAACAAACTATAAAAGTCAGTTGAAAAAGGCTTAACTCATCAGATCGATACAAAGCAGAATATGTCTGAATGAAATTTGTATTTTTTGTGATTATTTTGACGTCAGATGTTTTTGTGTTCTTGTAATGGTTGAACTGGAAATACAGATGTACAATTCGGCTCGACACATCAAAAACGAACTATAGTGCATGGAAATAATTATTGGTTACCTTCAATCTGTTCTAATCTATTTCCTATTAAAACACATTCTTTAAACAAAAACAAAATTGAAGCTCTTTGTCTTTGGATTTAAACAAACCTTGTTAAAAAATAGAGGCGGAAGATACAACTCTCGACACAATGGTTTGATAAGATCAACTTACACAAACTGAATATTAATAGATTTTCATAGACATTGACCCTAAACTTTCCAACAGAAATTAGTCTTGAAGTAGCAATACAATTCTCGACACTATGCCTTGATTAGATCAACTTACATCAACTGATTATTAATGGATTTAGACTTTAATGAATCACGTTTTATATTTTAGTAACAAAAACTACGAAAATTATGCCTAAAGGTAAATACAAGTGCTGATATTTATTTACTGGATACTGTATAATTGATTTCATAAAACCTTCTATGAAATACAGTGTGTTTTTTTTTGTGTTTTTGTTTTAAATTTAAACATGTTCCTTCGTTTTTTTTCAAAAGGGGTTCGAAATAAATAGATAAGATGGTGCAAAATAAAGAGATAAAAAAATTCAAATAAAGGCACAAAACTTCAAAATTGTTGGCACATGAAGTTTGAGTCAAGATTGTATTTAAAATAGTGTAATAAAAATAAAATAACCAATGAAGAAGAAATAATTATATCGTCTAGATTCAATCTGTATACTTACCAATAAATAATTTTCGCCTACGAAGGAATAATAACAAGAACAACACCAGTACACTGATTACATTTTTAGCTATGAAAACAAAAGATGAAAGACTTGTTTCTAAAAGGAGGTTTATTAGATTTTTTCCCGAATTTGTCTGTTGTTTTTTTCCTTCATCTTATCCTGTTACTGAAAGTAGTCTTTCTTGAAGCAATGTTAGTAATCAACACAGTAAAAAGTTATAGTTCCATTGGGTTTACACTGTTTCTTGAAGTTCTAGACCTCTGCAGTGCGTAGATCGGACATGCAAAGGAACCCTACCTCTCCAGGAATGCCAGATTTCTGCGATTTCAACTATCATATTTTTGGTTACGGTTCAAACTGCACCTTGTACCTGAGCAACTTGACACTATAAATTGCATTAGTTTGAGGGAAAATGTATAAGTTTCTGAATAATATTCATACAGCTGACAACTAAAAGTGAAGAGAGCCATTATAGCAAAAAAGCGTATTTTGGTATAGGCTGTAATATTACGCACCATATGCTAAGGAATAAGAGTGACATCGTTCTGTAGTAGAAGACCATAGTTGCGATGTAACAAGTTTATTTGACGAACTCTTATAAACTGTCCTTGTGTGAAAATGTGTTCTTATGTGTCCCGTTTAATATTTCAGTAAAGAAAGTTAAGACAGTTAAGCCAAAAGGTAAATATATTTGTACGTGTGTTATCTATCTGAAGTCATGCTGTTATAGTTACCAAATCTATGCCCTCTTATTGTTAAATAGCGATAGTGTTATTATATGATCGATTGTCCTTTCTTATAATAGTTGAATTGGAAATATTGATGTACAATTTGGCTTAACGTATCAAAAACGAACTATAGTGCATGGAGATAAGTATTGGTTACTTTCAATCTGTTCCAATTATTTCCTATAAAAACAGATTCTTTAAACAACAACAAAATAAAAGCTGTTTGTCTTTGGATTTTAGTAAACCGTGTTAAAAAAAGAGGCGGAAGATACCATAAGGATTTCAACACTCAACAGTCGAAAGAAATTGACACTGACATAGCAAAAACCGAAAGACCACAAAGAGACAAACAAGTTGCCAAAACACTACTAAGAATCCTCATAGAATGAGCAACACGAACCCCAACAAAATATGGTGGTTTAAAAGATGCAGAAATGTCTGAATGATATTTGTATTTGTTGTGACTATTTTCTCGTCAGGTGTTCTTGTTTTCTACTGATGTAAACATGCTTGTAAACATAAATGATTTTACTTAAGTTGAAATGTATTAAAAGAAATTTATTACTATACATATATTATGGTTGAATCTGTATAAAAAAGTCGTGACTAAACCATTTAAGACGGAAAACCATTAAAAATGTGACAATACTCTCTCTAAGGTACAAAATTGATTAAAAACTAACCAGAATTGAACATAACAATAATATTTGAAAAATTGTTTTATATGAAAAAATTGAAAAATCGGTATTGACGAATACTTTATGGCCATGCACAGTTTAAAGATAAAAAGATGTGGTATGATTGCCTATGAGACAACTATCCACCAAAGTTGAAATGAAGTGGATGTTAGCAATTATAGGCAACCGTACGGCCTTCAACAATGAGAAAAACCCATAGTGTATAGTCTGCTATAAAAGGACCCGACATGAAAAATATGAAACAATTCAATTGAGAAAACTTACGGCTTTATTTATGAGAAAGCAATTTATGAAAAACAAATATAATAGAAATGAACCAACGATATCCACTGAACTACAGGCTCCTGATTTGGGACAGGCACATAAAGAATGTGACGGGGTTAAACATGTTTGTGAGCGTTCAACCCTCCCCTGTGCTTGCCAAGCTTGTGATGGCTGCGGGGATATTGACTTTAAACTTTCCAACAGACATTGGTCTTGATTTAGCAATACAATTCTCGACGTTATGCCTTGATAAGATTAACTTACGTAAACTGAATAATAATGGATGTAGCCTTTAATGAATTACGTTTTATATTTTAGTGGAGACAACTACGAAAATTATGCCTAAAGGTAAATACAATTGCTGATGTTTTTTAACTGGATACTGTATAATTGATTTCATAAAATCGTCTATAAAATACAGTGTTTTGATTTGTTTTTGTTTTAAATTTTAACTTTTTCCTTCGTTTTTTTACAAAAGGGGTTCGAAATAAATAGATAAAATAGTGCAAAATAAAGAGATAAAAAATTCAAATAAAGGCATAAAACTTCAAAATTGTTAGCACATGAAGTTTGATTCAAGATTATATCTGAAATAGTGTAATTCAAATAAATTACCAATGAAAAAGAAAGAATTTTATCGTCTAGATTAAATCTGTATGCTTACCAATAAATATTTTTTTCATGAATGAACAATAACAAGAACAGCACCAGTACAATGATTACATTTAGTACCTATGAAATCCAATGATGTAAGACTTGTTTCTAAAACTAGAGATTAATAGAGTTTCTTGAAGTTCTAGACCCCTGCAGTGCGTTTATCAGACATATAAGAGAACCCAACCTCCCCTGGAATGCCAGATTTCTGCGATTTCAATTTTTATATTTCTGGTTTCAGTTCAAACTGGAACTTAGTTATACCTGAGCATTTTGACAATATAAATAGCATTAGTTTGAGGGAAAATGTATGAATTTACGATTAACATTCAAACAGCTAACAAATTAAAGTGAAGAGGGCCATTAAAGTAAAATTGCATACTTTGGTGAAGGCTGTAATATTCCTTATCACATGTAAGGAATAACAGTGACATCGTCCTGTAATAGTACAACATATTTGCGATGTAAGAAGGTTATTTGATGCACTCTAATAAACGGACCAGGTGTGAAAATTTGTTCTAATGTATAACGTTTTATTTCAGTAAAGAAAATTAAGATAGTTAAGCCAAAAGGTAAATATATTTGCATGTGTGTTATCTATCTGAAGTCATGCTGTTATCGTTTCTACATGTACAGTATACCCTCTTATTGTCAAATAGTGATAGTGTTATCATATGATCGATTGCCCTTTTTTGTAATAGTTGAACTGGAAATACAGCTGTTCAATTTGGCTTAGCATTTCAAAAACGAACTATAGTGCATGGACATAAGTATTGGTACCTTCAATCTGTTCCAATTTATTTCCTATAAAAACACATTCTTTAAACAACAACAAAATTGAAGTTGTTAGTCTTTCGATTTTAGCAAACCGTGTAAAAGAAAGAGGCGGAAGATACCATAAGGATTTCAACATTCATAAGTCGAGAGAAATTGACACCGCCATAGGAAAAACCGAAAGACCACAAAGAGAAAAATAATTTCCCAAAACACTGCTAAGAGTACTAAAAGAATAAGCAACAAGAACCCCAACAAAATATGGTTGTTTAAAAGATGCAGAGATTACATTTTTTTTTCGACTGATGTAAACACGCTTATAATTATTTATGATTTTAATTAGGTTGAAATATATAAAAAAAAAAAAAATCTGACTGTATATTTAATTTCTGTTTAAATCTGTATAAAAGTCTTGATTAAACCATTTGAGACAGAAAACAAGTATAAAAGTGACAATACTCTTCAAGGTTCAAAATTGATGAAATCCAACCAGAAATGACCATAACAATATTTAAAAAAAAATGGTTTTATATAAAATAAATAGAAAATCGGTAGTGATGAATACTTAAGGCTTAAGTTAAAAATAAGCAGATGTGGTATGATTGCCATTGAAACAACTATCCACCAAAGTTCAAACGAAGTGGCAGTTAGCAATTATAGGCAACCGTACGGCCTTCCACAATGAGAAAATACCCATACCGTATAGTCGGCTTCAAAAGGAACCGACATGAAAAATATAAAACAATTGAATTAAGAAAACTGACGGCCTAATTTATAACAAAACAATTTACGAAAAACAAATTAATAGAAATGAACCAGCGACAACCATTAAAATACAGGCTCCTGACTTTGGACAGGCACATACAGAATGTTGCGGGGTTAAACATGTTTTAGAGGGTTCAACCCTCCCCTTTTCTTGCAAAGCTTATGATGGCTGCGGGGATATTGACTTTAAACTTTCCAACAGACATTGGTCTTGATTTAGCAATACAATTTTCGACGTTATGCCTTGATAAGATTAACTTACGTAAACTGATTAATAATGGATGTAGCCTTTAATGAATTATGTTTTATATTTTAGTGGAGAAAACTACGAAAATTATGCCTAAAGGTAAATACAATTGCTGATGTTTTTTTACTGGATACTGTATAATTGATTTCATAAAATCGTCTATAAAATACAGTGTTTTTATTTGTTTTTGTTTTAAATTTTAACTTTTTCCTTCGTTTTTTTTCAAAAGGGGTTCGAAATAAATAGATAAAATAGTGCAAAATAAAGAGATAAAAAATTCAAATAAAGGCATAAAACTTCAAAATTGTTAGCACATGAAGTTTGATTCAAGATTATATCTGAAATAGTGTAATTCAAATAAATAACCAATGAAAAAGAAAGAATTTTATCGTCTAGATTAAATCTGTATGCTTACCAATAAATATTTTTTTCATGAATGAACAATAACAAGAACAGCACCAGTACAATGATTACATTTAGTACCTATGAAATCCAATGATGTAAGACTTGTTTCTAAAACTAGAGATTAATAGATTTTTTTCCCGATTTTCTCTGTGGTTTTTTTACTTCATCTGATCCTATGAACGAAAGGAGTCGTTCCTAAAGTGTATGTAAATAATCAACACAGTCAAAAGATATATTTCCTTGGATTGGCACTGTTTCTTGAAGTTCTAGACCCCTGCAGTGCGTTTATCAGACATATAAGAGAGCCCAACCTCCCCTGGAATGCCAGATTACTGCGATTTCAATTTTCATATTTCTGGTTTTAGTTCAAACTGGAACTTAGTTATACCTGAGCATTTTGACAATATAAATAGCATTAGTTTGAGGGAAAATGTATGAATTTACGAATAACATTCAAACAGCTAACATCTAAAAGTGAAGAGAGCCATTAAAGTACAAATGCGTACTTTGGTGAAGGCTGTAATATTCCACATCACATGTAAGGAATAACAGTGACATCGTCCTGTATTAGTACAACATATTTGCGATGTAAGAAGGTTATTTGATGCAGTCTTATAAACGGACCAGGTGTGAAAATTTGTTCTAATGTATACCGTTTTATTTCAGTAAAGAAAATTAAGATAGTTAAGCCAAAAGGTAAATATATTTACATGTGTGTTATCTATCTGAAGTCATGCTGTTATCGTTTCTACATGTACAGTATACCCTCTTATTGTCAAATAGTGATAGTGTTATCATATGATCGATTGCCCTTTTTTGTAATAGTTGAACTGGAAATACAGCTGTTCAATTTGACTTAGCATTTCAAAAACGAACTATAGTGCATGAACATAAGTATTGGTACCTTCAATCTGTTCCAATTTATTTCCTATAAAAACACATTCTTTAAACAACAACAAAATTGAAGTTGTTAGTCTTTCGATTTTAGCAAACCGTGTAAAAAAAAGAGGCGGAAGATACCATAAGGATTTCAACATTCATAAGTCGAGAGAAATTGACACCGCCATAGGAAAAACCGAAAGACCACAAAGAGAAAAATAATTTCCCAAAACACTGCTAAGAGTACTAAAAGAATAAGCAACAAGAACCCCAACAAAATATGGTTGTTTAAAAGATGCAGAGATTACATTTTTTTTTCGACTGATGTAAACACGCTTATAATTATTTATGATTTTAATTAGGTTGAAATATATAAAAAAAAATAAATCTGACTGTATATTAAATTTCTGTTTAAATCTGTATAAAAGTCTTGATTAAACCATTTGAGACAGAAAACAAGTATAAAAGTGACAATACTCTTCAAGGTTCAAAATTGATGAAATCCAACCAGAAATGACCATAACAATATTTAAAAAAAAATGGTTTTATATAAAATAAATAGAAAATCGGTAGTGATGAATACTTAAGGCTTAAGTTAAAAATAAGCAGATGTGGTATGATTGCCATTGAAACAACTATCCACCAAAGTTCAAACGAAGTGGCAGTTAGCAATTATAGGCAACCGTACGGCCTTCCACAATGAGAAAATACCCATACCGTATAGTCGGCTTCAAAAGGAACCGACATGAAAAATATAAAACAATTGAATTAAGAAAACTGACGGCCTAATTTATAACAAAACAATTTACGAAAAACAAATTAATAGAAATGAACCAGCGACAACCATTAAAATACAGGCTCCTGACTTTGGACAGGCACATACAGAATGTTGCGGGGTTAAACATGTTTTAGAGGGTTCAACCCTCCCCTTTTCTTGCAAAGCTTATGATGGCTGCGGGGACATTGACTTAAAACCTTTCAACAGACATCAGTCTTGCAGTAGCAATTTGATTATGCACACTTTACCTTCATTAGATCAACTTAAGTAAACTGATTATTAATGATTTTCATACACATTGACTTAAAGCCTTCAAAAAGGCATTAGTCTGTAAGTAACAATACAATGGTCGACACTATGCCTTGATTATATCAACTTACGTTAACTGATTATTAATGGATTTTGAATCTAATGAATTTAGTTTTATATTTTAGTGACCAAAACTACAAAAATTATGCCTAAAGGTAAATACAATTGCTGATGTTTTTTTTTACTGGATACTGTATAATTGTTTTCATAAATCTTTCTATAAAAAGCAGTGTTTTAATTTTTTTTATGTTTCATATTTAAACTTGTTCTTTGATTTTTGTTCAAAAGAGGCTCGAAATACATAGATAAAATGGTGCAAAATATCGAGATAAAAGTATCGAAGTAAGGCACAAAACTTCAAAATTGTTAGCACATGAAGTTTGATTCAAGATTATATTTAAAATAGTGTAATTTAAATAAAATTACCAATGAAGATGAAAGAATGTTATCGTCTAGATTAAATCTGCATGCTTACCAATAAATATTTTTCTCCTATGAATGAACAATAACAAGAACAGCACCAGGACACTGATTACATTCTGTACCTATGAAATCCAATGATGAAAGACTCGTTTCTAAAACAAGAGATTAATAGATTTTTTTCCGATTTCGTCTGTGTTTTTTTTTACTTCATCTGATCCTGTGGATGAAAGTAGTTGTTCCGAAGTGTATGTAAATAATCAACACAGTCAACATATATCCTTGGGTTTATACTGTTTCAGGAAGTTCTAGACCTCTGCAGTGCGTTTATCAGACACGTAAGGGAACCCAATCTCCAGGAATGCCAGATTTCTCCGATTTCATTTTTCATATTTCGCATGTTGGCTCAAACTGCACCTTATACCTGAGCAACTTGACAATACAAATAGCATTAGTTTGATGGAAAATGTATGAATTTTCGAATAATATTCATACAGCTGACATCTAAAAGTGAGGAGGGCTGTTAGAGCAAAAACATATTTTGGTGTAGCCTGTAATATTACGCAACACATGCTAAGGAATATGAGTGACATTGTCATGTAGTAGAACAACAAAATTGCGATGTAAAAAATTGATTCGATGCACTCTTATAAACTGACCATGTATGAAAATGTGTTATTATGTGTCCCGTTTTATATTTCAGTAAAGAAAGTTAAGACAGTTAAGCCAAAAGGTAAATATATTTGCACATGTGTTATCTATCTGAATTCATGCTGTTATAGTTACAACATGTATGCCCTCTTATTCTTAGTTTGCGAAAAAGAGAGGCGAAATATACCAAAGGGACTTTTATATATCATATAATCGATTGCCCTTTCTTGAAATCTTTAAATTGGAAATACAGATGTACAATTTGGCTCAACATATCAAAAACGAACAATAGTGCATGGACATAAGTATTGGTTACTTTCATGTATTTCCTCTTAAAACACTTTCCTTAAACAACAACAAAATTGAAGCTGTTTGTCTTTGGATCTTAGTAAACCGTGTTAAAGAAAAGAGTGGAAGATACCATCAGCATTTCAACACTCATAAGTCAAAAGAAATTGAGACCGCCATAGCAAAAACCGAAAGACCACAAAGAGACAAATAAGCTGTGAAAACACTTCTAAGAATACTTTTAAAATGAGCAACACGAACCCCAACGAAATCTGGTTGTTTAAAAGATGCATACTTTATCATAATCCCGCCGCATTTTTGCGCCTGTCCCAAGTCAGGAGCCTCTGGCCTTTGTTAGTCTTGTATGATTTTTAATTTTAGTTTCTTTTATATATTTCGGAGTTTAGTATGACGTCCATTATTACTGAACTAGTACATATTTTTGTTTAGGGGGCAGGTGAAGCACGTCTCGGGTGGGGGATTTTCTCGCTGTATTGAAGACCCTTTGGTTGTCTTCGGCTGTATTCTGCTCTTTGGTCGGGTTGATGTCTCTTTGACACATTCCCTATTTCCATTCTCAATTTTATTGGATGGATAGTTGACTCATTGGCACTCATACCACATCTTCTTATTTATATATATAAAAATAAGAAGATGTGGTATAATTGATGATGAGGCAACTCTCCACCAGAGACCAAATGACATAGAAATTAACATCTATATGTCACCGTACGGCCTTCAACAGTGAGCAACACCCGTACCGCATAACCAGCTATAAAAGGCCCCAAAATGACAAATGTAAAACAATTCAAGCGAGAAATCTAACGGCCTGATTAATGTACAAAAATATAGAAAGAAATACAAATATGATTTACAGCAATAAACGACAACTACTTAATCAAAGGCTCTTGAGATGGGACAGGCACATACAAAATGTTCCGGGAATGAACCAGTTTGAAGGCATTAACCCTCCCTTAACCTGGGACAATGATGTAACAGTCCAACATAAGAACACACTATAAGAATCAGTTGAAAAAGTCTGAACTCATCAGATCATTACAAAGCAGAATATGTCTGAATGATATTTTTATTTTTCGTGATTATTTTGTTGTCAGGTTTTTTTTTGTTTTCTTGTAATGGTTGAATAGGAAATACAGATGTTCAGTTTGTCTCAACATACCAAACAGGAACTATAGTGCATGGACATAAGTATCGGATACCTTCAATCTGCCTATAAAAACACATTCTTTGAAAACAGCAAAATTGAATCTGTTTGTCTTTGGATTCAAGCAAAACGTGTTTAAAAAAGGGAGGCGGAAGATACTATAATGATTTCAACACTATAAAGTCGAAAGAAATTGACACACCATAGCAAAAACCAAAGGACAACAAAGATACAAGCAAGTTGCTAAAATGCTACTAAGAATACTCATAGAATGAGCAACACGAACCCCAACACAATATGGTTGTTAATGGCCTTATTAATATCAAAACAATTTACTAAAAGCAAATATGATAGAAATGAACCAACAACAACAATTGGACTACAGGCCCCTGACTTGGGACAGGCACATAAAGAATGTGGCGGGGTTAAACATGTTTGTGAGCTTTCATCCTTCCTTTATGTTTGCCAAGCTTATAATGGCTGCGAGGACATTGAATTAAAACCTTCCAACAGACATTGGTCTTAAAGTAGCATTACAATTCTCGACATTATGCCTTGATTAGATCAATTTACGTAAACTGATTATTAATGGATTTTGACTCTAATGAATTTAGTTTTATATTTAAGTGACCAAAACTACAAAAATTATGCCTAAAGGTAAATACAATTGCTGATGTTTTTTTACTGGATACTGTATAATTGTTTTCATAAATCCTTCTATAAAAAGCAGTGTTTTAATTTTTTTATGTTTTAAATGTTAACTTGATCCTATGTTTTTTTTTTCAAAAGAGGTTCGAAATAAATAGATAAAATGGTGCAAAATAAAAAGATAAAAGTATTGAAGTAAAGGCACAAAACTTCAAAATTGTTAGCACATGAATTTTGATTCAAGATTATATTTTAAATAGTGTAATTAAAATGAAATTACCAATGAAGAAGAAAGAATGTTATCGTCTAGATTAAATCTGCATGCTTACCAATAAATGTTTTTTCTCCTATGAATGAACAATAACAAGAAGAGCACCAGGACACTGATTACATTCTGTACCTATGAAATCCAATAACGAAAGACTCGTTTCTAAAACAAGAGATTAAGTAGATTTTTTACCGATTTTGTCTGTGTTTTTTTTACTTCATCTGATCCTGTGAATGAAAGTAGTTGTTTCCGAAGTGTATGTAAAAAGTCAACACAGTCAACAGTTATATTTCCTTGGGTTTACACCGTTTCTGGAAGTTCTAGACCTCTACAGTGCGTTTAAAAGACACGTAAGGGAACCCAACCTCTCCAGGAATGCCAGATTTCTGCGATTTCAATTTTCATATTTCGCATGTTGGCTCAAATTGCACCTTATACCTGAGCAACTTGACAATACAAATAGCATTAGTTTGAGGGAAAATGTATGAATTTCCGAATAATATTCATACAGCTGACATCTAAAAGTGAAGAGAGCTGTTAGAGCAAAAAACATATATTAGTGTAGCCTGTTATATTACACAACACATGCTAAGGAATATGAGTGACATTGTCATGTAGTAGAACAACATAATTGCGATGTAAAAAATTGATTCGAATGACTCCTATAAACTGACCATGTATGAAAATGTGTTCTAATGTGTCCCGTTTTATATTTCAGTAAAGAAAGTTAAGACAGTTAAGCCAAAAGGTAAATATATTTGCACATGTGTTATCTATCTGAATTCATGCTGTTATAGTTACAACATGTATGCCCTCTTATTCTTAGTTTGCGAAAAAGAGAGGCGAAATATACCAAAGGGACTTTTATATATCATATAATCGATTGCCCTTTCTTGAAATATTTAAATTGGAAATAAAGATGTACAATTTGGCTCATCATATCAAAAACGATCAATATTGCATGGACATAAGTATTGGTTACTTTCATGAATTTCCTCTAAAAACACTTTCCTTAAACAATAACAAAACTGAAGCTGTTTGTTTTTGGATCTTAGTAAACCGTGTTAAAGAAAAGAGGTGGAAGATACCACAAAGAGATAAATAAGCTGTGAAAACACTTATAAGAATACTTATAAAATGAGCAACACGAACCCCAACGACATCTGGTTGTTTGAAAGATGCATACTTTACAATAATCCCGCCGCCTTTTTGCGCCTGTCCCAAGTCAAGAGCCTCTGGCCTTTGTTAGTCTTGTATGTTTTTTAATTTTAGTTTCTTTTATATATTTCGGAGTTTAGTATGACGTCCATTATTACTGAACTAGTACATATTTTTGTTTAGAGGCCAGGAGAAGTACGCCTCCGGGTGCTGGATTTTCTCGCTGTATTGAAGACCCTTTGGTTGTCTTCGGCTGTTTTCTGCTCTTTGGTCGGGTTGTTGTCTCTTTGACACATTCCCCATTTCCATTCTCAATTTTATTGGATGGATAGTTGACTCATTGGCACTCATACCACATCTTCTTATTTATATATATATATATATAAATAAGAAGATGTGGTATAATTGATGATGAGACAACTCTCCACCAGAGACCAAATGACATAGAAATTAACATCTATATGTCACCGTACTGCCTTCAACAGTGAGCAACAATCGTACCGCATAACCAGCTATAAAAGGCTCCGAAATGACAAATGTAAAACAATTCAAGCGAGAAATCTAACGGCCTGATTAATGCACAAAAATATAGAAAGAAATACAAATATGATATACAGCAATAAACGACAACTACTTAATCACAGGCTCCTTAATTGGGACAGACACATACAAAATGTTTCGGGGATGAACCAGTTTGAAGGCATTAACCCTCCCTTAACCTGGGACAGTGATGTAACAGTACAACATAAGAACAAACTATAAAAATCAGTTGAAAAAGGCTGAACTCATCAGATCATTACAAAGCAGAATATGTCTGAATGATATTTTAATTTAATGTGATTATTTTGTTGTCAGGTTTTTTTTTGTTTTCTTGTAATGGTTGAATAGGAAATACAGATGATCAGTTTGGCTCAACATACCAAACAGGAACTATAGTGCATGGACAAAAGTATCGGATACCTTCAATCTGCCTATAAAAACACATTCTTTAAACAACAGCAAAATTGAATCTGTTTGTCTTTGGATTCAAGCAAACCGTGTTTAAAAAAGGGAGGCGGAAGATACTATAATGATTTCAACACTATTAAGTCGGAAGAAATTGACACACCATAGCAAAAACCAAAGGACAACAAAGATACAAGCAAGTTTCCAAAAGGCTACTAAGAATACTCATAGAATGAGCAACACGAACCCCAACACAATATGGTTGTTTATGGCCTAATTTATAACAAAACAATTCACTAAAAGCAAATATGATAGAAATGAACCAACGACAACCATTGGCCCCTGACTTGGGACAGGCACATAAAGAATGTGGCGGGGTTAAACATGTTTGTGAGCGTTCATCCTTCCCTTATGTTTGCCAAGCTTATAATGGCTGCGAGGTCATTGAATTAAAACCTTCCAACAGACATTGGTCTTATAGTAGCATTACAATTCTCGACATTATGTCTTGCAATTTACGTAAACTGATTATTAATGGATTTTGACTCTAATGAATTTCGTTTTATATTTAAGTGACCAAAACTACAAAAATTATGCCTAAAGGTAAATACAATTGCTGATGTTTATTGACTGGATACTGTATAATTGATTTCATAAATCCTTCTATAAAAAGCAGTGTTTTAAATTTTTTTTGTTTTAATTTTAAACTTGTTCCTATGTTTTTTTTTCAAAAGAGGTTCAAAATAAATTGATAAAATGGTGCAAAATAAAAAGATAAAAGTATTGAAGTAAAGGCCCAAAACTTCAAAATTGTTAGCACATGAAATTTGATTCAAGATTATATTTAAAATAGTGTAATTAAAATAAAATTACCAATGAAGTAGGAATGTTATCGTATCGTCTAGATTTAATCTGCATGCTTACCAATAAATATTTTTCTCCTATGAATGAACAATAACAAGAACAGCACGAGGACACTGATTACATTCTGTACCTATGAAATCCAATGATGAAAGAATCGTTTCTAAAACAAGAGATTAATAGATTTTTTTCCGATTTCGTCTGTGTTTTTTTTTACTTCATCTGATCCTGTGAATGAAAGTAGTTGTTTCCGAAGTGTATGTAAATAATCAACACAGTCAACAGATATATTTCCTCGTGTTAACACTGTTTCTGGAAGTTCTAGACCTCTGCAGTACGTTTATCAGACACCTAAGGGAACCCAACCTCTCCAGGAATGCCAGATTTCTCCGATTTCAATTTTCATATTTCGCATGTTGGCTCAAACTGCACCTTATACCTGAGCAACTTGACAATACAAACAGCATTAGTTTGAGGGAAAATGTATTAATTTCCGAATAATATTCATACAGCTGACATCTAAAAGTGAAGAGAGCTGTTAGAGCAAAAAAACATATTTTAGTATAGGCTATAATATTGCGCAAAACATGCTAAGGAATATGAGTGACATCGGCTTGTAGTAGAACAACATAATTGCAATATAACAAGTTGATGGGATGTACTCTTATAAACTGACAATGTGTGAAAATTTGTTCTAATGTTTCCCGTTTTATATTTCAGTAAAGAAGATCAAGACAGTTAAGCCAAAAGGTAAATATATTTGCACGTGTGTTATCTATCTGAAATTATGCTGTTATAGTAACAACATGTATGCCCTCTTATTGTTTATTAGCGAAAGTGTTATCATATGATCGATTGCCCTTTCTTGTAATTGTTGAATTGGAAATACAGATGTACAGTTTGGCTTAACATATTAAAAACGAACTATAGTTCATGACATGAGTATTGGTTACCTTCAATCTGTTCCAAATTATAACCTATAAAAACACATTCTTTAAACAACAACAAAATTGAAGCTGTTTGTTTTTCGATTTTAGCAAACCGTGTCAAAAAAGAGAGGTGGAAGATACCATAAGAATTTTAACACTCATAAGTCGAGAGAAATTAAAACCGCCATACCGGAAATCCGATAGACCACAAAGAGACATACAAGTTGATAAAAAGAATACTAATGGAATGAGCAACACGAACCCCAACAAAATATGGTTGTTGAAAAGATGCAAATATATCTGAATGATATTTTTGTTTTGTGATTTTTTTTTCTCGTCAGATGTTCTTGTTTTCTACTGATATAAACACTTTTGTAATTATTGATGATTTTACTGTAGTTGAAATATATAAAAAAAATTCTGACTATATTGAATTTATGTTTAAATCTGTATAAAAAAAGCTTGGTTAAACAATTTAAAACCGAAAACAAGTAAAAATTTGACAATACTCTATGCGCTACGGAGTTTATTAAAATCCAACCAGAAATGACCATAACAATAACATTTGAATAATGGTTTTATATATAAAAAAAAATAGAAAATCGGTAGTGAAGAATGCTTATGATCATGCACTGTGCTTGCCAAGCTAATGATGGCTTCGGGGACTTAAAACCTTCCAATAGACATTGATCTCGAAGTATCAATACAATTCTCGACATTATGACTTGATTAGATCATATTACATAAACTGCATACTAATGCATTTAGACTATAATGAATAACGTTATATGCTTTAGTTGAGAAAACTACAAAAATCATGCCTAAAGGTAAATACAATTGCTGATGTTTATTTACTTGATACTGTATAATTGATTTCATAAAACTTTCTATAAAAAGCAGGATTTTTTTAATTTGTTTTTGTTTTAGATTTAAACTTTTTCGTTTGTTTTTTTTCAAAACGGTTCGAAATAAAAAGATAAAATGGTGCAAAATATCGAGATAAAAGTATAATAGTAAATGCACAAAACTATATTTGAAATAAAACTACCAATGTAGAAGAATGAATGTTATTGTCTAGATTCAATCTTTATACTTACCAATAAATATTTCCCCTCTATGAATGAACAATAAGTAAAAAAAGCATCAGTACACTTATTATATTTTGTAACTATGAAATCAAATTATGAAAGACTTGATTCTAAAACAAGAGATTAATAGGAATTTTTCCGATTTTCTCTGGTTTTTGTTTTTTTTACTTTATCTGATCCTGTGTCCGAAAGTAGTCGTTCCCGAGGTATATGTAAATAATCAATACAGTCAACAGTTATAATCCATTGGGTTTACATTGTTTCTGCAGTGCGTTTATCGGACATATAAGACAACCCAAACTCTCCAGGAATGCCAGATTTCTCCGATTTCAATTTTCATATTTCTGGTTTCAGTTCAAATTGCACCTGATACCTGAACAACTGGACAATATAAATAGCATTAGTTTGAGGGAAAATGTATGAATTTCCGAATAATATTCACACAGCTGACATCTAAAAGTGAAGAGAGCCATTAGAAAAAAAAAACGTATTTTGGTGTAGGCCGTAATATTACACACCAAATGCTAAGGAATAACAGTGACATCGTCCTGTAGTAGTACAACACAATTGCGATGTAACAAGTTTATTTGATGCACCCTTGTAAAATGACCATGTGTGAATATTTGTTCTAATGTGTCGAGTTTTATATTTCAGTAAAGAAAGTTAAGACAGTTAAGCCAAAAGGTAAATATATTTGCACGTGTGTTATCAATCTGACGTCATGCTGTTATCGTTTCTGCATGCATGCCTTGTAAAATAGCGATATTGTTATCATATGATCGATAGTTAAATTGGAAAAAACAGATGTACAATTTGGCTCAATATTTTAAAAACAAACTATAGTGAATGGACATAAGTATTGGTTTCCCTCAATCTATTCCAATTTATTTCCTATAAAAACACATTCTTTAAACAACAACAAAATTGAAGCTGTTGATCCTTGATGTCATCAAACCGTGTTAAAAAAAGAGGCAGAAGATACCATAAGGATTTCAAAACATTCATATGTCGAAAGAAATTGACACCGCCATAGGAAAAACCGAGTCCTCAAAGAGACAAACGTTGACACAACACTACTAAATATACTAATGGAATGAGAAACACGAACACAAAATATAGTTTTCTGAACGATATTTTATTTTTTGTGATTATTTTGTCTTTAGTTGTTTTTGTTTTCTACTGCTGTAAACACGCTTGTAATTATTTATGATTTTACGGTAGTTGAAATATATTAAAAAAAAAATCTGACTATATAAAATTTATAAAAAAGGCTTGGTGAAACCACTAAAGGGGGCTCACGGGTTTAAATTTTCTTGCCTACTGCGCAGGATGTTGTGCAATGCTATTGCAAGTGATACATATTGTCGTAATTGGGAATAACAATTGATTTCAAATTTGATTATTAGGAATAATCTATTTTATTTGATTATACTTAATACCATAGAGAGTTGTAATTGAAAGCTGTAATTTTAAAATATTATTAAGTATATTATTGCAATTTTTATTGATGCAAATACACTTTCGTTTGGCATGTTCGGGCTGGTGAGGAGACAAAGACAAGATAATTCATAATAATCGAACACGTGGGCTGCTTTTCTGGAACACTAAAATGGAGATCGAAAATAATAAATAACGGTCTTCATTTTAGTAGCTTGTGAAGCAGTTTCACACTTATTTTACAATTGAAAAGGACTAGGAAATATGCGTACGATGTATGTTATAATTTGTAAACAATAGGGATATACTGTATAAGTATTTTACATTGCCTGTTAATGATCGGGTCACATGAGTGATTCACGACCGTTAAATCTTTTGAAAGCGCAAAATTAACGGAAATGATTTTCAGCTAAATTCGTGAACAAAAACAAAAACAAAAAGTCTCAACATACAGTTTGACATACATTTGTGTACAGACGTCCATGCAACAAGGACAATTAATACAACAATCAGATGGATCAATGACATCTATAATCATAATTATATCTAATCAGCAAATCTAAATTACCAATCTGCATAAGAATCAGGCAGTGGTGAAAACATGACAAACAATAACCCGCTCAGCTTTACATTAATTTAAGTTTAGAATGTATGATGGTGCATGGATATAACACTCGTTTCCCCTCCCTGTTCTGGTAATTCAAGATATAATTTGGTTAAAATGCACTAGAAATTGCCAATTAAGGGGAAATAACTCTGTAATTTGCTATCATTCTAACCAAAATCTATCTAGATATTTCTCGAATTACCAGAAACAGAAACGAAAGAACTACCATTTCTAACTCAGGATGAGGGTACCTTCAAAATAGGGTGGTTAGGTTGGTGGGTTTTTTCGGCCATGTTTTGAATTTTTTCTTAATTGCCTGATTCTTACAAAGAATGGCCCTTTATGATAAATAATAACAAAATAAACAATGAATACAGTCATTGCTCGAAAACAAGCAATTAATTTCAAATTATTTCCATGTTTTTTTCCTTAGTGTTCGTAAATTTTGAGATATATTTATTGTTCTTAGTATTTACCAAATAAATATCTGCATGAGTATATAAAAACCTAAATACCAGAAATATTAATGTATTCTTTAAAAAATAGGACGTACAAACCCAGAGCAAACAGACTATGGGCAAACGAAACACGGGGCGAACGGACCCAATACCCGCCTTGAGTCTGAATTATAACCATAGGTCATGGTACTTGTGGTAAATGTTTTGACAAACTGTTTGCAGACCTTAGAGTCCAGGTGTGTTGTCTACATCACCATTATTTGCGGATAAGAGTCCAGTGTGGCACGTGTGATGTCTATTTCAGACACCATAAGTAATGACTATTTGATTTCCGGGGGAAAGGGCAGGCCTTTCTCTTGCACAGAGAATTTTCATTTAATCTGTTGTTAGTCTTGTTTATTAGGTCTTTCCACTTTCCTGTGGAAAGACCTATTGTATTTGTTCTGATTATTATTATTTTCTTCCGCCAAATTTTGTTCTCGCGTAAAATTTTTGTTTCGCAAGATGTCGCTTAGATATTTCTTATATAGTATCATACAGTTTATGCGCTTTTTTTATTTTCACCCATTCTTAGCTGAACAATTTTCTTTGTAGGAGTTATCTCCCCGAACACTGTTTTCCTTGTGACTGCATCTCCTCCGTAACCGTAAAAGAAAGCGACAAATTTATTTTATAAAATTGCTCGTTATATCCTTTGCATGATTTGTCTTATTTTGACCGAAGCGATATGAATATTCCATATGAGAGTTATTTCCCCTTATGCATTTGATATAAGTGATATGCATTTCTATCTTGTAAACCATACGTGATAGAGACGTAGGATCTTTTGATATGAGGTCCTTGATCCAAAAATAAGAAAATTAGGTCAAGGTCAGAGGTCAAGGTCATATTTTAAATTTTGATTTTGGCTTATTTTCAATTCTTTTCAAAAACCGTATAAGATATCGACAACATATTTTTACTAAATTGAAAGCTGCGACATGTTGTAACACATAAATTTTGATTAAAAGGGTATGCTTACATTAAATTGGAGTTTTCTCCCCTCGTTTATTAAAAGTTAAGCATATAGTGATATAACTCATTAACCATATATAATTAAGACCTATTGTCTTTTGATTTGAAGCCCTTGGTTCATGACCTTGAAATTGAGCTCAAGGTCATAGGTAAAATTGACGTTCTAGATTTTGACCTTTGCTTTTACCTCATATGTATACATGATAAATCCATGGGACTTTTTGCATTACGTTGCAAGCCACTTGACCATGGAAAAGCCAACCGGAAGTGACCTTGTGTAAACCGGAAGTAGCTATTTTTTGTACTTATTTAATGTTAAAGTATATTGAACCATATATTTTTGGAATCAGTATCAAGTAAACTATCAAATACAACCGGAAGTGACATATTTCATACCGGAAGTAACAATTTATCTCCCTTATTTAGAAAAAAATATATAGAAACCATATATTTTTGGAATCAGTGTACAATAAGCTATCATTTGACGCTAGATATGATATATCAAACTGAATTCTAATAGTTCTATATCAAAATTGATCTTTATGGGTGGAAAGACCTTCAATTGTTCTCTGAACAATTGGTTTTTAATTTGAATATGAGTCGTTTTGCCTTAGTGAGAAACCTGGTTTAAAGTATAATGAAAAAAAAAATGAAAATTATTCTTTGTATTAAAGAAAGACACCCATTGTTTATTGTTTAATATATCATGTCGACTAAAATTTTTGACAATTGGTTCTGGTACACAGTTATCAATGATCCTTGATTTTCAGTGTCTACCAATATAGTTCCTTGTGTGGACAATGTCTAACTTTCAAATTTTATTGATACACCTTTCTCACTTATTTCTTTATACAGTTTATGCATAAAATTGTAATTAGAAGGATGAAACTATCCGTAAAAACAATTTTGGTCTAGAGTTTTAAGGTAAAGGAGTGATTTGGTTCAGTTGAAAAAGGCAAAAATTAGTATGTAAGAAACTGTCAAACTGAATTATAGACCTCATTAACATAATATTGTCCATATTTTGAGTAGGAGCTGGTAGACTTTTCTATAATTTTGATATAATTTTTCCTAAAAGTAGTACACTTCACTGTAAAAATCGTATTGAGAAAGTGCAAGTGGGATTTTTTATTTTTATTTATTGTCTAAAAGAAATGCACTTTACAGATGTTGATCCAGGTTTTTGAAAAAGAGGGCCCCTGGCCCCCAAACTAGACAAGGTTTTGAGTAGGACATGTAAAAGTCCATGCAATAACCATATCCGGATCTGCTATTCAGGAAATAATTGTGTTTTTGAACTGAATAGAAAAAACTGACCAATTTTATAAAAACTAGGCATGACCTAAGCTTACAGAAGTATAAAAGAGTTGACAAAGTATCGTGATAATACAATCAATATTGTAGACAATATGGCCATTTTTATTTTTCAACTTAGTGTGTTTTATTTTTTTCATTTAATCGAACAATTTCAGCTATCAAGATTGGGATATAGAAAATTAAATATTTCAAAAGTTTGATTTTTTAAATGTACTGATGTATAATGTAGTATGTATTTAAAGCAACTGAGCAATAATCAAATGTATCAAGGATTCAAGATCTATTTCAATTATTCGAAATTTTTATTTATGTGAGCCAATGCATGAATATAGAGATTTTTAAATGAAGGTGGCTTTACATGAAAATGTAACCTTTTCTATCAATTAATAATTTTAAAGTTTTTTTTGTTTAAATAGTTCTTCCACATATATTTAATGTAGCTAAGATGGAAAGAAAAGTTACAAATATCATACCACTTGAGTATACAATGGTCTTGGGCCATGTATGATTGAAAAAATGTATGGGTCAATTTAAGCCATAACACATATTAACTCATAAAAATGCATACAGAAGCTATAGGAAATATACTTCTTTTACTTTTTGCTCATTAATACCCCTACCGACGAAGTCGAAGGGGACTTAAGGTTTTCTCTCCCTCTGTCTGTCGGTCTGTCTGTTTGTCTGTCCATCCGTCAGTGCGGAAAATCAGCTTTCCTCACTTTTTTTTTCGTGCTTGTATATATTGATTTGATATTTGATATATAGTTTTATCATGACCAGTTACAGATCAAGTATGAATCTTGTTCCGGTCTGATAATTATGTGCAGAGTTATGGTCCTTGAACTTGAAAATTCAGGCAAGTAATCAGTTTTCCGCACTTTTTTTTTCATTATGTTTGAAGATATTGATTTGATGTATGGTAAATAGTTCAGCCATGACTATTTACAGATCAAGTTTGAATTTTGTTTGGTTTGGTCATTGGATGATTTTTTGTTGTTGTCATGATTGAAGATATTGATTTGATGTTTGATATATAGTTTTAACATGACAAGTTACAGTTCAAGTCAGTGAGGCAAATCAGTTATCTATATTTTTTTCTTCGTGCTTAACGATATTGATTTAATATTTGATATATGGTTTTTTCATGACCAGTTACAGATCAATTTTGAACTTTGTTCCGGTCTGATGATTTTGTGCAGAGTTATGGTCCTTGAACTTGAAAATTGAGGCAAGCTATCAGTTTTCCGCATTTTGTTTCCTTATGCTTGAAGATATTGATTTGATATATGGTAAATAGTTTAGATATTTGATATATAGTTTTACATTGACAAGTTACAGTTCAAGTTCGAATGTTGTTCGGGTTGGAGGATTATTTTGCTGAGTAATTGTCCTCTGACTTAGAAAATTTACGCAAATAATCAGTTTTCCATACTTATTTTGTCATGCTTGAAGAACGGCAATATTGTATTTCACATAGCTTTGGCTAAAAACGGGAGAAAAAGTAGAACTTTTATCAAAAATAACCTTTTTTGTTGCCTTGGTTCCACACTTTTGGTGATTTATTTCTCTTAAAAGATCGATGACACCCCTTTTTTTTGCCTTTTTCTGAACTTCACTTATAATTCTCTTGCACTATAACGTTTAATGGAAATCTGTAATTCTATTCTCTTAATTTTTTATGATAAAGGTACTGAAGTCCAATTTTCCCTATTAGTCTTTGTAAAATTTTATGAATTATTTGAAAATCCTGTTTGTTTTAGCAGTCAGTAACTTGCTTAGTGACCTCCTTATTTTAATGGCATTTTTTAAATCCATATATTGAGAGGTTTCAATCAACAATTTATAAGGAAAAACTTTAATTTCAATTTTATACCCTCATGCCTCTTTGAGGCCGGAAACAAGTAAATATATGACAATACTCTTAAAGGTACAAATTGATTAAAATCCAACCAGGAATGACCATAACAATATTATTTGAAAAATAGTTTTATATGAAAAATAGAAAATCGCAAGTGAAGAATGCTTATGATCATGCACTGTGCTTGCCAAGCTAATGATGGCTGTAGAGACATTGACTTAAAACCTTCCAACAGACATTGGTCTTGAAGTAGCAATACAATTCTCGTCATTATGCATCGATTAGATCAACTTAAATAAACTTATTATTAATGGATTTAGACTCTAATGAATTACGGTTTATATTTTAGTTAAGAAAACTACGAAAATTATGCCTAAAGGTAAATACAATTGCTGATGTTTATTTACTGGATACTGTATAATAGATTTCATAAATCCTATAAGAAGCAGTGTTTTTATTGGTTTTTGTTTTAAATTTTAACTTGTTCCTTTGTTTTTTTTCAAAAAGGGTTCAAAATAAATAGATAAAATGGTACATAATAAAGAGATAAAATATCGATATAAAGGCACAAAACTTCAGAATTGTTAACGGATGAAGTTTGATTGAAGTTTATATTCAAAATAGTGTAATTCAAATAAAATTACCAATGTAGAAGAAAGAATGTTATCGTCTAGATTCAATCTGTATACTTACCAATAAACATTTTTCTCCTATGAATGAACAAAAGCAAGAACAGCATCAGTACATTGATTAAATTTTGTACCTATAAATCCAATAAAGATAGATTCGTTTCTTAATAAAGAGATTGATAGAGATTTTTCCGATTTTCACTGTTTTTGATTTTTTACTTCATCTGATCCTGTGACCGAAAGAAGTCGTTCCCGAAGTGTATGTAAATAATCCACTCAGTCGTCAACAGATATATTCCTATGCGTTTACACTGTTGCTGGAAGTTCTGCAGTGCGTTTACCAGACTTATAAGACACTGGCGGATCCAGAAATTTTCATAAGTGGGGGCCCGCTCTAATCATGCTTCAGTGATTTCTTATATGATCAACAAAATTTTTCCCACAAAAGAAGTGGCCCGGGCCCCCTGCCTCCTAAATCCGCCTCTGTAAGAGAACCCAACTTCTCATGGAATGCCAGACTTTTCCAATTTCAATTTTCATATTTCGGCTCAAACTGCACCTTGTACCTTACCAACTTGACAATATAAATAGCATTAGTTTGAGGGAAAATGTATGAATTTCCGAATAATATTCATACAGCTGACATCTAAAAGTGAAGAGAGCCATTAGAGCAAAAAGGCGTATTTTGGTTAAGGCCGTAATATAACGCACCACATGCTAAGGAATAACAGTGACATCGGCCTGTAGTAGTACAACATATAAGCGATGTAACAATTTGATTTGATGCACTCTTACCAACTGACCATGTGTGAAAATTTGTTCTAATGTGTCCCGATTTATATTTCAGTAAAGAAAGTTAAGATAGTTAATCCAAAAGGTAAATATATTGGCACGTGTGTTATCTATTTGAAGTCGTGCTGTTATTTTTACCACATGCGTGCCCTCTTATTGTTAAATATCGATAGTGGTATCATATGATCGATTGCCCTTAATTTGAAATACAGATGTACAATTTGGCTCAACATATCAAAAACGAAACGAACTATAGTGCATGGACATAAGTATTCATTACCTTCAATCTGTTCCAATTTATTTCCTATAAAAACACATTCTTTAAACAACAACAAAAATGAAGCTGTTTGTCTTTCGATTTTAGTAAACCGTGTTAAAAAAAAGAGGCGGAAGATACCATAAGGATTTCTACATTCGAGAAGTTTAAGGTACAAAATTGATTAAAATCCATCCAGGAATGACCATAACAATAATATTTGAAAAAATGGTTTTATATGAAAAATAGAAAATCGGTAGTGAAAAATACTTATGATCATGCACTGTAGTTGTCAAGATAATGATGGATGTGATGACATTGACTTTAAACCTTCCAACATACATTGGTCTTGAAGTAGTAATACATTTTTCGACATTATGCCTCGATTAGATCAACTTTCATAAATTGATTATTAATGAATTCCGACTCTAATGAATTACGTTTTATATTTTAGTGGAGAAAACTACGAAAATTATGCCTAAAGGTAAATACAGTTGCTGATGATTATTTACTGGATACTGTATTATTTATTTCATAAAACCTTCTATAAAAAAGCAGTGTTTTTTGTTTAGTTTTAAATCTTAACTTGTTCCTTTGTTTTTTGTTTCTTCAAACGGTGTTTAAAATAGATAGACAAAATGATGCAATATAAAGATATTAAAAATCGTATTAAAGGCATACAACTTAAACTGTTAACACATGACATTTGATCCAAATAATAGTAATAATATTAATGTAAGTCAAATCAATTGAAAATGAACAAGGAACATGTAATCGTCCAAACTCTATCTATTTAGATACAAATAAATTTGAATCGACTATGAGTGTATTTTCCCGATTTTCTTGGCGTTTTTATACTTCATCTAATCCTGTGACCGAAAATAGTCGTTCCCGAAGTGTATGTAAATAGTCAACACAGTCGTCAACAGTTATATTCCCTTTGGTTTACAATTTTTCTAAAAGTTCTAGACCTCTGCAGTGCGTTTATCAGACATATTAGAGAACACAACTTCTCCAGGAATGCCATATTTCTCCGACTTCAATTTCATATTTCGCATGTCTGCTCAAACAGCTTCTTATACCTAAACAATTTGCATGGGAAAATGTATGAGATTTCCGAATAATATTCATATAGCTGACATCTAAAAGTGAAGAGAGCCATTAGAGCAAAACGCGTATTTTGGTGTAGGCCGTAATATTACGCACCACATGCTAAGGAATAACAGTGACATCGTCCTGTAGTAGTACAACATAATTGCGATGTAACAAGTTGATTCGATGCACTCTTATCAACTGACCATGTTTGAAAATTTGTTCTAATGTGTCCCGTTTTATATTTCAGCAAAGAATGTTAAGACAGTTAAGTCCAAAGGTATTTATAGTTGCATGTGTGTTATCTATCTGACGTCATGTTGTTATAGTTACTAAATTACTAAATGCATGCCCTCTTATTGTTAAAAAGCGATATTGTTATCATATGATCGATTGCCCTTTTCTTGTAATGGTTGAAATGTAAATACAGATGTACAATTTGGCTCAACACATCAAAAACGAACTATAGTACATGGACATAAGTATTGGTTACCTTCAATCTGTTCCAATTTATTTCCTATAAAAACACATTCTTTAGACAACATCATTGATGTTGTTTGTCTTTCGATTTTAGTAAACCGTGTTAAAAAAAAGGCAGACGATACCATAAGGATTTCTACACTCATAAGTCGAGAGAAATTGACACCGCCATAGCAAAAATCGAAAGTCCAAAATGAGACAAACAATTTGACAAAATACTACTAAATACATTCTGATAGAATAAGCAACCCTAACCCCAACAAAATATGGTTGTTTAAAAGATGCAAATATGTCTGAATGATATTTTTATTGTTTGTGATTATTTTGTCGTCAGATGTTTTTGTTTTCTACTGATGTAAACACGCTTATAATTAATTATGATTTTACTTTAGTTGAAACATTCGACTATAGATAAAATTTATGTTTAAATCTGTATAAAAAGGGCTTGATTAAATAATTTTAAGGATGTAAACCTCCGAGGATCCCAAAATGTCTAGAGAATTCAACTTTTTTTATTAACCTGATTTTTTGGTTTATATAACTGTAAGAAAGTAATTGATGAAAAAAAAAAAATCATATGGTGGTGCACTTCTTTTTTTGTTACGGCCCTTTGAAAATACCCCATTTTTAATGATTTTCCCATTGTTCATCAATTTTTACCGATTTTTGGGCTATTATTATGAAAAAAATCACAGTTTCACAATTAAACTTTTTTTCATACTTTCACTAACAATGAAGTGGACCTATCTGAATAAATTCAACTTAAAAACTATAGGTTGGTGTTTATATAAGAAAGTTTTTAAAAATTTTGTTGTTTTTTCGTGTCAAATTGACCATGCTGTCAATTTCGTCAATTTGGGATTTTTTTCTTTTTTTTTTTAAAAGAAAGAGCATATTATTTAGACTTCTTTGTTATAAATAATTGAAAAAATACATATCTAAGAATTTTTAAAAGAAAAATTGATATGGGATGTACATATTTCTGGTAAAAACATATCTTTGTACCCCTCACCCATTTTCTAAACATTTTGGCTGATGACACTGACCGAATTGGTTATAAAATTTCAAAATTTTATCACTCAAAAACTAATTATAGTAAGTACACAATTCGTTTAAAAGAGTTTAGTTTGATTATAATATTTTTTAAATTCATTGTTATTTTCGAATTATATCACATGTTTTGGAAATAATTCCCGAACGAGTTTTCAACGAGACTGGAACATCAGAAGAATACATCCTTGAGACGGATAACAAGTAAAAATGTGACAACACTATTTAAAGCACACCACTGATTAAAATCCAACCAGAAATGACCACAACAATAATATTTGAAAAATGGTTTTATATGAAAAAAAAGGAAATCGGTAGTGAAAAATACTTATGATCATGCACTGTGCTTGTCAAGCTAATGATGCCTGCGGGACATTGATTTAAAACTTTCCAACAGACATTGGTCTTGAAGTAGCAATAAAATTCGTGACATTATGCCTCGATTAGATCAATTTTCATAAACTGATTATTAATGGATTCAGACTCTAATGAATTACGTTTTATTTTTAGTGGAGAAAACTACAAAAATTATGCCTAAAGGTAAATACAATTGCTTATGTTTATTTACTGGATACTGTTTAATTGATTTCATAAAACCTTCTATAATAAAGCAGTGTTTCGTTTTTTGTTTTAAATCTAAACTTGTTCCTTTGTTTTTTTTCTTCAAAAGGGGTTTAAAATAAATAGACAAAATGGTGCAAAATATAGAGATATTAAATATCGTATTAAAGGCATACAACTTAAACTGTTAACATATGACATTAATCAAAATAATAGTAATAATAATGTAATTTAAATAAATTACGAATGAACAAGAAACATGTAATCGTCCAAACTCTATCTATTTCGATACAAATACATTTTAATCGACTATGAGTGTACACTAACAAGAACAGCATCAGTACATTGAATTCATTTTGTACCTATGAAATCTAATGATAAATGACTCCTTTCTAAATTAAGAGATTAATAGCGATTTTTCCGAGTTTCTCTGTTTTTTTTTTGACTTCATCTGATCCTGTGACCGACAGTACTCGTTCCCGAAGTGTATGTAAAAATCAACACAGTCAACAGTTATATTCCCATGGGCTTACACTGTTTCTGGGAATTCTAGATCTCTGCAGTGCGTTTATCAGACATATAAGAGAACACAACCTCTCCAGGAATGTTGTAATTCTCCGCCTTCAATTTCATATTTGGCATTTCGGCTCTAACTGCACTTTATACCTAAATAATGTGACAATATAAATAGCATTAGTTTGAGGGAAAATGTATGAATTTCCGAATAATATTCATACAGCTGACATCTAAAGGTGAAGAAAGCCATTAGAGCAAAAAACGGGTTTTGGTGTAGGCTGTAATATTACGCACCACATGTTAAGGAATAACAGTGACATCGTCCTGTATAGGACAAGATAATTGCGATGTAACAATTGATTTGATGCACTCTTATAAACTGACCATGTGTGAAAATATGTTCTAATGTGCCCCATTTTATACTTCAGAAAAGAAAGTTAAGATAGTTAAGCCAAAAGGTAAATATATTTGCATGTGTGTTATCTATCTGACGTCATGCTGTTATAATTACTACTTGCATGCCATCTTATATTGTTTAATAGCGATAGTGTTATCATATGATCGATTGACCTTTTCTTGTAATAGTTGAAATGGAAATACAGATGTACAATTTGGCTCAACACATCAAAAACGAACTAAAGTACATGGACAGAAGTATTGGTTACCTTCAATCTGTTCCAGTGAATTTCCTATAAAAACACATTCCTTAAACAACAACAAAATTGAAGTTGTTTGTCTATATTTAGATTTTCAAAGTTCGCCTCTTGTTTGAAACTGCACCTTGAACAAAAGCAAGGGACAATATAAACATCATTAGTTTCTTGGAAAATGTACTAATTTCTAACTAAAAGAGGGACGAAAGATACCAGAGGGACAGTCAAACTCATAGATCGAAAACAAACTGACAACGCCATGGCGTACATCATACAGCTGATCTCTCAAAGTGATGAGAGCCATTGGAACTAAAAACCGTTTTTTTTTATGTAGACTGTTATATTACGCTCCGAATGCTAAGGAATAACAGTGACATAGTCCTGTATATGAACAACTTAATTGTGATGTAGCAAGTCGATTTAACGCTCTCTTATGAACTGGCTATATGTGAAAAATCATTCGGATCTGTTTCTTTTTATATTTCAGTAAAGAAAGTTAAGACAGTGAAGCCAAAAGGTAAATATATGAGCATTTGTTTAATATCCGAAGTCATGCTGTTATTGTTACTACAGGCATTATAAAAATAAAAATATATGAGACAACTCTCTACCAGAGACCAAATGACATAGAGGGGGTTAGCAACTATAGACAAACAGTTCAATGACCTCTTAATGTTAAATAGCAATATTGTTAATGTGATCATTTGATCGTTTGCCCATTTTTTGTAATAGTTTAATTGAAAATATAGATGTGCAATTTGTCTCAAAATATCAAAAACGAACTACAGTGCATGAACATAAGTATTCGTTACCTTTCAATTTGTTTCATTTTATTTCACATAAAAAACATTTTCTTTCTACTACAAAAAAATTGAAGCTGTATGTCTCTGGACTTTACCAAACCGCGTATAAAATAGAGGCTGCAGATACCATGGAATTTTCAACACTCATAAGTCGAGAGAAATTGACAACGCTATGGAAAGACACGAAAGACCATAAAAGTCTAAAAAGTTCACAAAACATTACTTTAAATGCTTATGGACAGAACAACATGAACTCAACCAAAATGTGGAGGTTTAAGAGATGCAAATATGTCTGAATTATATTTTCTACAGCTTGTGATTGTTTTGTCACCAAATGGTTTTTGTTTTTTCCTGAAGTAAACACCCTGATATAAATTATTGATGATTTCACTTTAGTTGAAATATAGAGAAAATTTCTCGACTAAAAATCAAATTTTTGTTTGAATCTGTGGAAACAGGAATTGATTAAATATTTTAGGACGGAAAACAAATAAAATGTGACAATGCTCTATTAGATACCAAATTGATTAAAATTCAACCAGAAATGTCCATAACAATAATATTTAAAACCAGATTTTATATAAAAAAATAGTAAAAAATCGATAACGAGGAATACTTATGGTCATCTACATCACATGCCAAGCTAATGATGGCTGCGTGGACTTTGACTTAAACCCTACTAGCAGACATTGAACTTGAAGTAGCAAAGAAATTGTAGACATAATGCAGTGATCAAATTAATTTACTTAAACTGATCATTAATAGATTTAGACTCTAATGAATTGCGATTTATATTTTAGTGACGAAAACTACGAAAATTATGGCTAAAGGTAAATACATTTGCTGATGTTTACTTACTGGCTACTGTATAATTGAATTCATAAAACAATTTCTAAAATGGCAGTGTTGTCATTAATTTTTCATTTAAATTCAAACTTGTTTCTTAGTTGATTTACAAAAGGGATTCAAAATGAATAGAACAAATGGAGCAATATATAGATATAAAAGATCGTATCAAAAGCACAAAACTTCAAAATTGTTAACACATAAAATTTGATTCAAAATAATATAGATAAGAATGTAATTCAAATTAAATTTCAAATGAAGAAGAAACAATGTAATCGTCCAAATTCTTTTGAATTGACTATGAATGACAATAACAAGAACACATAAGTGTATTTATTACATTTTGTACCTATGAAATCATATGATAAATCAATCGTTTATAAGATAAGCGATTACTAATTTCCCGATTTCTCTCGTTTTTTTTGTCATTTGAACTTAAAACCGAACGTAGTCGTTCCTGAAGTTTATTTAAATGATGAAACAGTCAACAGCTATATTCCTATGGAATTACACTGTCTGTCTTTGGTAGTTCTAGACCTCTGTACTGAGTTTTTCAGACACACAAGGGAGACCAATCTCTCCAGGAATACCTGTTTTCTCTGATTTCGATTTTCAAAGTTCGCATTTAGGTTGAAACTGTACCTTAAACCTGAGCAACTGGACAATATAAACAGCATTAGTTTAAGTGAAATGTCTGAATTTCCAAATAAATATCATACATCAGTGCCCGTTTGAATAAAGCTACTTAAGTTAAGGAAACTCTGTCCTTTTTACGTAAGTGGTATGCATAATAAATCTTAAAATAAGTATTGCCTTAGCAAATTCTTAGACGATATGCATAAAACCCTTCATACTATGAAAGGGCCTAAGTTTATACGTAAGTATAAGGTACTTATAGAGCTACTTTAAATTATACGTTTTTGCAGAACATGGATAAATTATCTTATTATTTCAGTAATAATTCGTTTGTTTATTGCTAAATACTAAAGGGGCATTAGCTTCAAGATATATAAAAAAATTCAAATATAATTTTTTTTGTTCAATCATTCATGAACGTGAAATAGTGAAATGATAATTCGCTTTCAGCAGCCGGTTTTGTTCAATTTTGTTAAACATAACTAAGAAACATCGCTGATGAATTATTCACTTACAAGTGAATAAGTCAGCCTCATTGAATCCGTATTCATGTGACCTTCAATTCCGAATTGAAAACACAACATATTTTTTTTTCAATGCTTTTCCAAAAAAAATCCGCAACATTTTTCAACCGTTTTTTTTCATTAACTGATATCGATAAGTTAATTACGTTTAATATTTTAGTGAAGAAACCTCAGACAAACACATTAAAAAAAACACCACTTAGATTACCAAAAGACTGAGCAAAACGAACCCTACAATGCCGTGGAAGTTTAAAAAATGCAAATATGTCTGCATTATCGTGTGTGATTATTTTGTCGTCGGATGTTTTTGTTTTCTCTTGATGTAAAAAAGCTGATAATTTTTTATGATTTTACTTCTTTTGAAATAGAAAGAAAATTTCCTGACTAAAAATTTTGACTTGTCCTTTAATCAGAAAAAAAAATCTCTAATTAATTATGTTTCATATTTCAGCGTATAAACATAAGAAAATGATATTTATTCCAAAAGGTAAATATATTTGCACGTGTGTTAACTATCTGAAGATATGCTGTTATTGTCACTACATTCATGCCCTCTTAAAGTGATATGAAGCTAATGCTGGGCTTTGACTAAAATTCTATCAACAGATAGTGTAGCAAAATAATTTTCGACATTATGTGTTGATAAAATGAACTTACATTAACTGATCATTAATTGACATCGACTATTAAATTACGTTTTATATTTTAGTGAAGATAACTACGTAAATTATGCCGCGTAAATTTGGACTTAAAATCTACCAACAGACATCGTTCTGCTGAAGAAGCAATACAATTTGCGACATTACACGTTGATTTGAAAAACTTTCATAAACAGACCATTTAAAGATGTCCACTCTTATTATGTTTTACGTTTACGGCGGCCATTTTACACTTGTAATGCAATCACTTGATAAACTGAAGTTTGTTTTATTTATAGAATTGGAACTCCTGTGGAAATAAAAATTACAATTCTCTTTTCTAAAATATAAATATTTTTTTTTTATAAGAAAAACATTATTTTTGTTTAATATTCAGATATTCAATTGAAACTTCTGAAGTCCTGTCAACTTATTATTATTCAAATTTCATTGATTTTTTTTGAACAAGTACACTTTTTAACACACAATCAATGAGCTAAGAAAGACAACTTCAATTTCATTTTATCAAGTGATTGCATTACAAGTGAAAATTTCCGCCGCGGAAATTGACAGGATCTTTTCAGTCGTGTTTATTTAGACTTATAAGTTAAAACTTCGTCTGTGGAATAATTATTTCCATACAACTTTGATTAAGGAACACTCGAAATTGTTAACTACCGTTTTTTATTTGAAATTAGCAGATGAAAGGCAATAATAAAAATCGGTCATCAAAAAATGATAAATTTACGTATCCAGCGTCCTTTTTCTTGCACAAAAGGTTTAAAAACATAAAAAATGGTATTGTTAACCATTTCGCTACGACCCTTACACTCTAAAATGTATCACCGTCGAGTTTGACACCGATTTGTAGAGAAACAACGAAGATACGAACGTATTTTCAAAAAGGTCACTCTTCCTGCACATGACAGGCCACCCAAAGTCGCGGAAAAACATATCAGTTAGGAAAGTGTTAATGTAAATGGAAGAGAACACTTTTGACCCCTAGTTTTATGTATTTTTTACATTTAAAACAAAGACATTAAAAGGTAACAACTTATTGATATCTTAGTCATATTTTATGGAAAGCTCCAGGGAAAGCAATACCATTTCTGAATTTATAGACCAAAATACCACCCAATATGCCCTACAGCTAGCAAATATTGGCCTAAAAAACTTTACATTTCATATTTTGGGGTACCCTAACTACATCAAAGGAGTAATGTGGCTAATTTGTACTTCTGAACTATTGAGTATTTTCACTTTTAAACCATATAAATTAATATCACAAGCAACATATGATATGATATTTCATAATGAAAGAAATAAAAATGTAAAATGTAAAAACAAAGACTTTCATGTCAATATCAAACTTTGAGACAACCCAGAAAATATTAGATTCATTTTTTTTTCGAAATTGATCAACATATAAACTGTGTTTACAATAAAATATATGCCACCAACTGAAGGTATGTGAAATGCCAGTCATACCTAGGTAGTACCTATATACTAATTGAATAATATCTTGTGTAATATAAATGAAAGAAGATGTTAAGTATACAATAGTTCGATAAGCAACCCATAAGATATTAAGGTGTCACCTAAATAGACGATTAAGGCATGCAACTCGTATGTATATCATTGATGATTATTGGTTGTAATCCAAGCAGAATAATATTAGTTACACAGTTTGCTACGATATATATAGGTCAGTAAATCCATATGAGATGTAACAAAATTGAATATAAGAGCTAAATTCCAAATTATTTTTTTCAAGAAACGTATTTATAGAGGCCTCTTTGCTAAAAAGTTCCTTTTTTAACGAATTGACTTAAGTTTTCCATAGTTTTACGCAATTAATGTATATTTTTCATTAATAATCGTACAAAATATGAATGAACATTTGTTCTAATATGTACTATATATTGTTTTTAACCATTAATCGCACGCCAGCTCCAGAAAAAGAATCAACACGTCGGTTTACGAAATGACTACGAAAAACACGCACTTTCATTGAAATCAATTCTGGCGGGTGACGGTCATGTGCAATATTAATAATGTCATAGAGACACACAATCCAGTTCAATCCGGTAAAATAAGTGTTAATTTATAGGCCGTTAAGGAAGTCCATCAGATGAAGACTGAATGCAAGAGAAATCTTACAAGTTTTGTAAATGAAAAGCTGTAAACATTTTTCTTGCCAATAGAAATCTATATAGATAACATTTTACAGGTTATTTCGTTACAATTCCGATATAACATTACTGAACAAGTACACATTCGAAGAAAAAAAAAGGGTCGTTGTGCTGATTAAATAGCTAGAAATAGTAAACCAAGATGTTTTAATGTTGGAGAACCCATTTTCCTTTTTGGGCTGTAAAAAACGTCGCAGAGTATTTATAATGGAACATCGCCATGCAGCTGATCCCACTGCATAATAAACCACTTTACGAATTACTGTCATTTACAAATTTTGAGAATAGAAAAGAAAACAGTCTTCAACTGTCTCGATTCGTATGCCCCGCATTTGACTAAGCATGCTTAGCTATACAACATGTTCGTTTTCCTTCGCAAATACTTTCAAATTTGCGGAACCGATTTCATATCGTTTGTGATTTCTGCGATTTTTGGATGATTATCAATTTATAGCAACGTTGCAAAAACACCGCGTTAAATTTGCATGCTTTATTATCTGCCCTTGCTATTGTACCGTATAGCCTTAATTAAAATAGGTATATTGTAATCATTTAATCGTTTGCCATTTCTTTTGTAATGGTTGAACTAGAAATACAGATGAGTAATATGGTCCATTTACATTAAAAGTACAATTGTATTATACCAGATGCACATTTCGACAATATAGTCTAGTCAATTTAGTGAACAACCTGCAACTAATTGCAACACAAAATTTTTCTCTGAAAAACAAGTCTGTTACTATCTATGAACAACATACTAAAATTATACAAAAATATATTTTGCGGAAAGGGGTGTAAATCATCAAATTTTTTTGTAGTAAAAGTAAGGTAATATGACTTGCTTCCCCTTATTTGCCAAAGTTAAAAAAATTTAATTAAACAAAAAGTATTCAGTATTTTTTAAAACAGTTGAAATAATACAATACAATACATAATTATCTCAATTTAAAAAAATAATATTACAAATGCATCACTTTCTTGTCTCAAAATTTGTATATTTGAATAAAGATATAGACCGCAATTGTGTTCTGCTATTTTACAATCCAAGAATCTAATTCTCTACCACAGTGTTGGTATATAACCTATAAACGGAAAACTGTACTGAATTAGATTAACCAACTTAGTCACAATCTTACTCGGTATTTGAAAGAATCATGCCCGTGTGTTAAAGGCACTGACAGTTAAATTTTTGTTGGGGGGAGGGGTTCTCGAAACACATGTTTTGTCCTTTGTAAAAAAAATGTTAATGCTAGACTTAATTTTTGAAATTCAAAGTCTTTAATGTATTTTTCCCCACAACTCTATAAAGAAAACAATATTTTTATTTTCATTTTCCTTCTGGAACAAACATGTTAAGATTTAGAATCCAACAATGTTTTTCATAAAACAAATAAGAATGATGAGTGTTAAATGATTGTATGTTAAATATTTTTTCACAAATGAAAATTTCAAGCTCCTCGAAGCAAATAGCTACTCATGTATGAAGCGAAGATCTCAGTACTCACTCACCATATAAATAAAGCTTTGGCTGTAACACTGAATCCACTTTTCACTTTGGTTGCTAATCGGATGTGTACTGATTTATATTTTAGTCGGTGCCAACAGTATTTATTCATCAACTGTAATTAGCTTTGAACTAGCTATTAGAACTCAGTGTCTGTTTGTTAATTGGTTATATACTCCGCGCTTATCTTTTTGAGTTGAGCCCTTTTCAACTGAGTTTTTCAATTTGTTCTTATGTTGTTTGCTATTTCAAAACTGTTCCTGATTATGGGAGGGTTGAGTGCTCGCAAACATGGTTAACGCTGCACACTATTAATATGATTATCACAAGAAAGTGGCCCTTTATTATTTGGTGGTTATTGTTTGCTGTCTGTCGTATTTGTTTTTTTCCATTTATTGTCTTAACAGTTTTATATTTTAACGATGAACTATTATAGTTGTTAACATCCACACCCTCATCATTGTTTTCTCTTGTGGAAAGTTTTCTCATTGGCAATCATACAACATCTTCTTATGTTTTTAAAGTGGGGATATTTTACAATAAATTATGGTTTCACTGGCAAGCGATCAAACCTACTACCAAGAAATCACTGATAGAGTTTAGTGGACCTTAAAAGCTAAACATTTATATTCTTTAGGCATGAGGTGTATTTTTTTAATATATATTTTTAGTTTCGTTCAAATGAGTTGAATACAGGTCAGTACATTCCGGAAGCAGAAAACGGCGTCTTTAACATTGATATTTCTATAACAGAGTATAATCATGAATAAAGAGAGATTTGAGGTTTTTAAAGTCAACGAGAAAGCAACCCAAACGACTAACAAAAACCAACAGACATAATTTCAGATTAGACATGACTATCTAAACGCTAAATCTGGTCATAAGTCGTCCACTTTTTTACAGTTCTTAGGCTAAAGCTGATTACCTTTTATTAAATTAATTCAATGAGATATCTTAAAGAAGGAACTTTGTAATGCTTTTCTTTTAGATATATATCTTTGACCATAATATTTTCATACAGCAGACAACCCATGTTAGTCCTTTGTCATTATCATTTGGTTGATGTTTCAGACCACCACATACAGGTTTTACCTTACTGGGTACACACATAAGGTGCTGTTACTATTTACACTTCCCCCAGGAAGTGATCCCA